TTAGACACCTGCCTCTTGGGGAAGAACCTGCAGTAGGAGCGGGGAGTCAGGAACTCGTGATGAATTGGGTAGAGTTCTTGAAAGTGGCGTATGGAGCGTGTGATATCAAGAACTACTGTACTGACCACAATGGGGCAGCTGCTATCTCTCCCCTCATGGTGGTGTTTAATTCTAACTTTTTGTTTTGTTTTTATTTGCAGATAGACACCTGCCTCTTGGGGAAGAACCTGCAGTAGGAGCGGGGAGTCAGGAACTCGTGATGAATTGGGTAGAGTTCTTGAAAGTGGCGTATGGAGCGTGTGATATCAAGAACTACTGTACTGACCACAATGGGGCAGCTGCTATCTCTCCCCTCATGGTGGTGTTTAATTCTAACTTTTTGTTTTGTTTTTATTTGCAGATACCCAGCGGGCTCTGTATCTCCTGGAGGAATACCGCTCTAAATTGAGCCAAAATGAGGACAGACAGCTGAGAAACTCCATAGAGCGTGTCATTAATATCTTCCAGAGCAACCTTTTCCAGGCATTGATAGGTAGATGTCTACATTTAAAAAAAAAAAAAAAAAATTTTGTGCAAAATCATCTAAAATTTTTTTTAAAGTAAAAACACTCAGCTTTTCACTTGAGGGTATTAACAAGTGAGGTCTCCAAATACTTGAAAGTCTGAGGGGTAGTCGTGTTAGTCTGTAATTTTTAAAAACAATGAGTAGTCCTGTGGCACCTTAGAGTGCTAATGAGGCTAACTGAGTCAGCTGGAAGTGTCACATACTTCAGTTCTTCTGTTTGCACTTGGCTAGGAAGATGATGTCTGTTTGGATCCCTGTGAATTGTCTTATGCAGTTGATGGATTTCCACTTCAGACAGCTGAATGTAGTGCCTTGCATGTTTAAAATCCACGGAGGGGGCGCCGTGTTAGTCTGCAACTTGAAATACGAGTAGTCATGTGGCACTTTAGAGGCTAACAAAAAATATATATATGGTAATGAGCTTTAGTGGGCAAAACCCACTTCTTCAGATGAGATTGAGTGGAAGAAAAATGGGGGGGAGATTCAGAATAAGATAGGAGAAGGAGGGGAAAAAAAATTATCTGTCGACTGGAGTCTCAGTGCTATTTGAGTGGGCTGAAAGTGCCCATACTTCTGTTCATCTGTTTGTACTTGGATAGGAAGATATTGTATGGCATCAGCTACTTAAAAATTTATCACCTCAGCATCTTTTTGGAAGCTTTGGGTTTGGGGTGATTATATAGATATACAAAAAGATTTACCAGGAGTTGCGTGGGTCTTTCAGGATAAGGATGTCAATGGATAACCGATTACTCGCTAAGCATCACGCTTACTGGGACCCTTTGTCTCCCCTCCCACCCCATCCTCTGGCTCTGTGGCCAAGGCCTGGGGGGAGGGGGAGAAGAGTTTAGGGCAGTGGTCACCAACCAGTAGCTCAGGATCTACCAGTAGATCTTGGAGCCTGTAGCGGGGTCAAGCTCTGTCCAGTCCAGCCCAGCTGACCCCCGCCTTCAGTCTCTCTCTCTCTCTCTCTCTCCCTCTGTGTCCCTGCTGCTGCATGGCGGCCGCTTTACAGTCTCAGCTGGCCTGTTGGCTTGTCCGTTCCCCGCTCTGTTCCTCGGGCTGTCAACAATTGGGCTCGGCCGGCCCATCTGCCGGGGGCTGCGTTGCTCCTGGGCCCCCCCAGAGGCATTCCTTTGCCGCTGGCCCACTCCTCTCTGGTGTCTGCCGTCCCGGGCGCTCGCCGCCCCTCAAGCTCTCCACCTGTGGGAGGTGAGAGCACAGCCAGACCCTGCTCTCCTCCCCCATGCTCCTCCCAGCCCTCCTCCTTTTGGGCGTGTGGCCCGGCGTCCCGCCCCCGCCCCATTGGCGTGCTGGCGTCCCTGGGCTCTAGAGTCTGCCGCTGGCCCACTCCTCTCTGGTGTCTGCCGTCCCGGGCGCTCGCCGCCCCTCAAGCTCTCCACCTGTGGGAGGTGAGAGCACAGCCAGACCCTGCTCTCCTCCCCCATGCTCCTCCCAGCCCTCCTCCTTTTGGGCGTGTGGCCCGGCGTCCCGCCCCCGCCCCATTGGCGTGCTGGCGTCCCTGGGCTCTAGAGTCTGCCGCTTGCGGCTGTAGGGTTGGGAGCTGCCGGACAGCGGACATAAGTGCGGGGAGCGGTTTCCCCGCCACAGCGCCTCTGACAGGTGATCCTGACTGGTTTGGTCAGGAAGCTATCGCGTGCCAGCAGTTGAACTGCCCTGCCCCTCCACCCTCTGTCATACTGCTCCTGACCTCTGCCTGGGAGCTGCCCCCTGGGAGCCTCCTGCTTGCTGTGCAAGGTGTTGGGTAAAGGGGGGTGCTGATGTCAGGGTGTCCCCCTTCCCCCCCCCCTGTACCCCATCTCCACACAGAGAGAAGGGAATGGAGGGAGCTTGGCAGTGCAAATCGCTGTAACTCTCACACACTGTGTGTGTGTCTGTCATTTTCACAAACACACTGTCCTTCACTCTCCTCTCCCGACCTAACACATGTGGGAGGTTGTTACTTCTTTTACTGCTTGCAAAGTGGGTTAGTTTTGGATTTTGACTGGTCTGTGCATTTCATCATTTTCATTTCTCATACATTTACATTTAATTCTTTGAGTGGTGAGTTCTAAAGTACCTAATCTTTCACGGCTAGAGTAATTATCCCTGTGGGAATTGCTGCTCCTGGAAGTGGCTGGCATGTCCCTGCAGCCCCTGAGAAGGGCAGAGCAGGGGGTCTCCATCCACTTTCCTTGCCTGCAGATGCCACTCCTGCACCCAACCTCTTGCTCCAGACTTGAGTCCCTCTGCACCCAAATTCTTCCCAGAGCTTTCACCCTGAAACCCCTTCTGGACTCCAATCCCCTGCCCTGGGCTAAGCCCGGAGCCCCTCCCACACTCCAAACCCCTTGGCCCCTGAATAGAGCCTGCACCCAACCCCCTATTCCAGCCTGGTGAAAGTGAGTATGGGAGAGGAAGAGGGATGGAGTGACCAGGGTGAGGCCTTGGCGAAGGAGTGGAGTGGGGGCAGGGCCTCAAAGAAGGGGTGGGAAGAAAGTGGGGCAAGGGTATTTGGGTTTGAGGTAGATCTTATATTGTACTTAAATTGAGAAAGTGATCTTGTGATTAAAAAGGTTGGAGACCACTGGTTTAGGGCTATGGGCTGGACTCCTGGCCCCATTACAATTGGCCCCTGCTGAGCCACAGATGTTGCCAGACCAGAGAGTCCTGGTTTAGAGAGCTTCCACCTGTACTGTACAAGTAATTGAGTTAATAGGATCTCCCTTAATCCCATTGTGTGAAGGCATTGTAGCACATGCAGTTGTTCAGGAACTGCCTGCTCCACAATAGGGGAGAGAGATAAGCATTGTGAATAAGTCTTTGTGAAGATTCCCAATGTCAGACTGCATATGGACTCAGGTGAAAACTATTTCCAGGAGAGGGTATTTTATTGAAGACTTCCAAATTTAACAAATGTTTACCTCTAGGTTAAAGAGCTCTCTGAAATGCTTTTATTTAGACTTACTTTAATTGCCCTTTCTCAGAAACTTTTCCCTGTTAGACCTATCTTTCTTCAGTGGATGCTGATAAGGTGAATACAAATATAGGGACCTTAATGTGAATTTAAACTACACCATTCAGTTTCAAACTCATGTTCATAATGGATTGAACTGTCTCCAGTATAAGTAACTTCTTATTTTGTGTTTTCTTAGTTGTATTTAAAATAGCCTTTTATAGCTACAGTGAGTAGGGATGTAAAATTCTGTTTAATTGGTTAATCATTTAAACATATAGTTTAACTCAGGCATGTCCAAAGTCTGGCCCGCGGGCCAATTGTGGCCCGTGTTCCGATTTAATATGGCCCCCGCTTCCTCCCCCTCTCCTGGCTCCCCGGCGCTCTTTTGAACTGGCGCACCCAGCGCGCTGCTTCCGGCCGCGCCGCCGCTGCCGCCCATGGCCTCCGCGGTCCTAGAGTCTGCCCTGTAGGGCACGTCCGCAGCCCCGCTCCCCCGCTCGGCTGCGGGTTCGCCGCCGGCGTGCCCTGCGCTCTCTGCCCGCCTCCGACCCTGCGGGTCCTCTGCCTTGGGACTGAGAATGCGGGGACGGCCCTCACGCATGTTCACTTCTTCAAATCTGGCCCTCTTTGAAAAAAGTTTGGACACCCCTGGTTTAACTGGTTAACTGATTCGAGTGGGGTGCCTCCTGCCCACCACTGGGCTGGAGTGTCCCCCTGCCACAGGCAGGGGCTGCACCAGCCAGGCTGGAGAAGTCCTGGCTTGCAGGGTGCTCTGGCCTGCTGTGCATAGGGTGAAAGCAGCCCCTGCTATAGGCAGGGGTTGCCAAGCCTGGCCTGAGCAGCCCCCTGTCTGCAGCAGGCCTCCTGCGGGGTTGGAGAAGTCCTCTGCCCCGTGGCTGGCGGGAAGCTGCTTCAGCTACGTTAACCTTAACTGTTAAGCCTTGCCTATTAAGGATAAGCTTACTGGTTAAACATTCACATCCCTAAAGAGTAGTTTTGTTGTCAAGGTTCCTGTCATGATCATGAGGGTTAGCCAGCATCCTGGGGACTAAGGGGTTAACTATGTCCCTTACCTAGCCAGGTGGAGTGGCCAATAGGAATGTAGGTAGGAATTTGAAACTGGGACAAAGGAATTTTGGATTTTTCCTCCTTTGTGTCTGGGGCAGTTCCTTCCAGCTTCTGAGGAAGACAGACATGTCTTTCTCTCTTGGAGGGAGAGAGAGAGACACCATTCTTCACTTTCTATAAGTAGGATAAAGTTTAGATAAATCTGTTAGGTTGTATTATTTTATGTGTTGGGTATGGGATCTGATGTCTGCACTTTTAAATAATGTTTTGGCTTTTTTTTGTAACTAAGTTCTAGGCCCATGGAGTCTCTCCATGAGTGTATACATTGTTACCTTTCAATCTAATCATTATGCTTTCAACAGGAATATTGTGGTGCTAATAAAAATTTTATCTTTTCTTTTTATTAACCTGGTATTGGTAATAGGGCGTCCTGGTTCGTACTTTAGGGGTGAGATTTCCCAAATGGTCTCTCCCCTGGTTTCTTTATTAATTTGGGTGGTGGCAGTGAAGAGTCTATCCTCAAAATCCAGGGTTTTAAGATTTTTGGGGGGAAGTTTTATACCAAAGCCTGGTAGATAAGGTTTTGGGGTACACTTGCTGGCCCCCACTTCTGCATTTATCATGCCAGAGTGGGGAAGGAGCCATGACAGTTCCATTTATTAAATGATAGGGGGAGAAGGGATAGGATTTGTTACTCTTAGTTTGATAAAAATTTGATGTCCATTTGAGCTTAAATTTAAGAACAAGCAGGAGGGAAGTATTTTTGTATATTTAAATAACGGTCTGATATTACCAAGAAAGAGAGAATGATTTCTGCTTATAAACTGAGAATCATTTTTTAATAATCAGAACCTGTCTATTTTTTGTTTAATGGTATTTTTGCTTTAGCAATACTACCTAATGGAAATAGTGTTCTGAAAAGAAAAAATGCTACTTTTTA